GAGAGAGAGAGAGAGAGAGAGAGACCAAGGTTAAGAGGCGCTTGCGGGGATATTTTTAGTCAGTATCAATTAGAAGGCAAAAGAGGCAATCAAGAACAACTTACTCCGAGAACCTGAGCAAATGGAGAGCGTCTCGTCAGAGAAATGAACTCGGAACGGCGAACCATTGTCGCCGATTTCTGCTTCAGATCTGGCACTTCATGATGATATGTTCATTAGAAAATGTAATGAACTGCCCTGGAGCTAAAATGTCTATCGGGGCCTTGTCACGTAAATTAAATGGGATCACGGCATTATGGCGTTGTCCAGATTTAGCTGTCAGGGGTGCGGGCGGCTGGTGGGAGTTCCACTTTTTTTCATCCCCTCTGTTGTTTCTGAATGTCCCGTCTTATTTTTCCCCTGCCTCTAAACGGATGGACAGAGCCCCCCCCCCTCCCCCTTCGCCCCCGCTCCCTCTTCTTTCTTTCTGTTTGATTGTCTTACAATTTCAAGTAGGTGGTCGGAGGGCGCCACACTTAAGTCTTACTTCTTTTCTTTCCCTCTTATTTCTTTTTGTCAGATTTAGTTGTCCGGGGGTGGATCGTGATTTTGAGGGAACCGTAAGCCCATTGTACGTCTTTACAATGACATGGGGCCTGTTGGTAGTGAGGTAGATCTAGTGTGCTTGCCTCCCATTTCATAGTAGTGGGTTCGGTCCCGGATTCACTCAGGCATTTTCAATGCATAATTTTAAGAGAAATTTGCTTTCGTTCTTTTTTTTTTCTTCTTCTTTAGGGGGGATTTTCTCAGGTTTTCCCACCCCTGTCGGTGGTTGTAGGATAGTAATGGCAGGTCCAGTTTCTTTACTTTAATTTTATTGTTTCTATTTGTCTTCTTAATGTTGATGTTGCTTTTTCTTTTCCAGCTTTAGTTGACCCGTATTGAGTCGTTCGCTTTCTGTGTACTCAAACCGAAGATTAACTTAAACCAAAGCACCCCGCGTCTCAGATCTCTGGATATGTTGTAGGGTGGGGAATCCTTTCTCCGTGGGTAAGGTCGAAGAATCTAGAACAGGGTTGGGTTGATTTAAATCAAGTTGATTTTTTTGATTTAAATCAACTTGATTTTTAAAATAAAAATCAGTGATTTAAATCACTTTAAAATTTTTTTATTTTTATTTAGTTTTTACACATTTCTACATTCAGAATTCTTTTCCTTGGTTTCATAAAACACATATAAGGTTTAGTAGACTAATATAATCATGCTTAAAAGTCTGCTTTCCACCCTTTCACTGTAAAATAATACAGTATTCAATTTACTTTTTTTTTCCATA